CATCACGTTAATGTGACGTCACACTGCACATTATACATTCTAAAAGTAAACTAGTGTTACAGTGTTGTCACAAGATGCATAACTAAGCTCAATTACCCATATAATACTATTGACATATGGCGGCGACCTTGTTGGTCTCCTGTCTTCATCTGCTGGTCAAAGGTGGAGTTCACGGGCTCACTCAGTGACAGCACTAACATCACACACACACAGTCTCTGAGAGAGTGCTGAGAACATTACGAAACACAGGGAGTCAAAACGTTAACATAACCCTGAGCAACACGGGTTCAGAACAGGGTGCTCCTGCCTCTCACAATTGCTAGACCTTTCTGACCTGGTCTTAGATGCCATGGAAGACAAGCAAACCGCGACGTAATATATACACATTTCGCGAAGGCTTTCGACAAATGTAACTATGGTATAATTTGACTTAAAAAAAAGGGAATATCGGACATAGACTAGGCCGCAAATTATCGTTGTGTATCATCCTCTACAGATGACACTAGAACGTTTTTGAGAAAGACACTTCAGAGGACACAGCAAACCTTCAAACTGATGTAAACCAGAGCTGGGATTCATCAAGCACTGAGGTGCTCACTGACGAAACCTGTACATCTTTCCTTAATCTTGGAAAATTAATTTGCATTTCTGAAACAGTTCATGAACTGTGAAGCGCTAAGAGCTTGTCTGTAACAATAACCCTTGGTTGTGAAGTTTTGAAGCTTGTGAACTGTTTAACAAATACAGCCTTTCATGATTAAAAAAAAAATGTGCAGATTTCATAAATACACACGTAAATTCTTTTTCAATTCCGGCCCAAGTCTTTCAATGGGCCACAACTTATCTGTGTACTTTACGATCAGTACATAACTACAGTACGACTTCGGGGAAGTAAGATTTAGCTCTTGGTTCCCCGGCCATGTTTTACCCCTGCCGTAATAATTTAACTATTCTGACGTTTGAATTTTTTGTCGATTCTGGCCTTAAAGTTGTGTGTGGCGACGTGCGTATATGGCGCGTGTATATCGGTGGAGATAATGGAAGGTGTTCAACATGACACACACAGATATAACTTCATCCATCACAGCGCCACGCTCGTCCTCGTCCTCGGCGGGAGAGAGGGGAGGAGGTAGAGAGGGGAGAGAGAGAGAGAGAGGATGGAGAGAGGAGAGAGAGAGAGAGAGAGAGGAGAGAGAGAGAGATTGAGGAGAGAGAGAGAGAGAGAGAGAGAGAGAGAGAGAGAGAGAGAGGAGGAGAGAGAGAGAGAGAGAGAGAGAGAGAGAGAGAGAGAGAGAGAGGGAGAGAGAGAGAGAGTGAGAGAGAGAGAGAGAGAGAGAGAGAGAGAGGGAGAGGAGAGAGAGAGAGAGAGAGGAGAGAGAGAGAGAGAGGAGAGGAGAGAGGAGAGAGAGAGAGAGAGAGAGAGGGAGGAGAGAGAGAGAGAGAGAGAGAGAGAGAGAGTAATGCAGAATAAAAACACAAGACAAAAAGCAGTTACAGGGTATATAACTAGAAGGAATTTTCAGATAAGATATATAGAAGAGAGGGAGTGGTGGGAGCCAAGGGAGGAGGGGCATTAATCACCGAGTGTTTTGACACCCGCACCATGCTAAGGCCCCCAGCCGCCCTGGGGCACGCCCCAGCCGCCCTGGGGCACGCCCCCAGCCGCCCTGGGGCACGCCCCCAGCCGCCCTGGGGCACGCCCCCAGCCGCCCTGGGGCACGCCCCCAGCCGCCCTGGGGCACGCCCCCAGCCGCCCTGGGGCACGCCCCAGCCGCCCTGGGGCACGCCCCCAGCCGCCCTGGGGCACGCCCCCCAGCCGCCCTGGGGCACGCCCCCAGCCGCTCTGGGGCAGGCCCCCAGCCGCCCTGGGGAAGGCCCCCAGCCGCCCTGGGGCACGCCCCCCAGCCGCCATGGGGAAGGCCCCCAGCCGCCCTGGGGCACGCCCCCAGCCGCCCTGGGGCACGCCCTGGGGCAGGCCCCCAGCCGCCCTGGGGAAGGCCCCCAGCCGCCCTGGGGCACGCCCCCAGCCGCCCTGGGGCACGCCCCCAGCCGCCCTGGGGCACGCTCCCAGCCGCCCTGGGGCACGCCCCCCAGCCGCCCTGGGGCACGCCCCCAGCCGCCCTGGGGCACGCCCCCAGCCGCCCTGGGGAAGGCCCCATTCTACATTTCAAATCAAAGATTTCGCAACATAAATACTCTGTAAGACATGGCCAATTGTCTAATGCTTTGTTCATTTGTCAGAAAATGCTCACCAAATTGATTGGGAGATGGCTTCTTCAATAACGAATTGTAAAAGCACTTATAACAGGAACATAATTGAATCTGCTTTAATACAGATTACAAAAGAATGCAATTTGAACATTAGCAGTGGTTTATATTTATTTATTTATTTATTTATTTATTTATTTATTTATTTATTTATTTATTTATATACAAGAAGTTACATTGGGGGTTAACAGAGAATATAGAAAATAAGTTAAATTAACATTCTTGTAAAGCCACTAGCACGCGTAGCGTTTCGGGCAAGTCCTTAAACTAACAGAAAAAAATAAAAATATATAACGTAGATCCACTTTTGATAAATCAATAAAGGGCGATTTGAGTAAGATCATGATACACAGTTGTATCACTAATTCATTGGAAATATTTACTATCTTATGCTATTATTATCCATGTGTGTGGGTCTATTGGTGGGTATAAATGGGAGCTGCATACATACACATATATATATATATATATATTATATATATATATATATATATATATATATATATATATATATATATATATATATATATATATATATATATATAGGGTGTGTGCGCGCGTGTATTAAAGATAAATAAAAAGAAAGAATAAAAAAATATATATCAGTTGATTGACAGTTGAGAGACGGGACCGAAGAACCAGAGCTCAACCCCCACATGCACAACTAGGTGTGTACACACACACACATAATCACAGAGGCACGTACACTCAACATTATTAAGACTTAATTAGCAATTAAGAAGAAGCTTAATTAATAAAACAAACCGCCTTAATTACCTTCCAGCGAACGTAATTAATCAAGTGACATGAAGCGTTAAAAGCTTTCATATTGTTCAAAAATAAATTCAGATTCCATTTTCTGCCATCAAATGTTGTAGCCAAATACAACCACAACTACAACAACAACCTTTCCACGCACTCGTCACGTGACTTTCAGTCTTTACAACCTCCACAACCATGGTTGTGAAGCAATGGAACTTTCCTTGTTAGTGAAAATATACGTTTTAAATTGCAATAAATATTTCTTGGATAACGTGAACCCTAATTTGTGAAATTAACAATAACAAGAGCTTCTAAATAACGCAGCTGGTCCGCTGAAGGCCAGCTGCCGGGTCTACTCTCCCAGCTGCTGGGTCTACTCTACCAGCTGCTGGGTCTACTCTACCAGCTGCTGGGTCTACTCTACCAGCTGCTAAGTCTACTCTACCAGCTGCTGGGTCTACTCTCCCAGCTGCTGGGTCTACTCTCCCAGCTGCTAGGTCTACTCTCCCAGCTGCTGGGTCTACTCTCCCAGCTCCTGGGTCTCACCTCCCAGCTGCTGGGTCTACTCTCCCAGCTGCCGGGTCTACTCTCCCAGCTGTCACCCTGAACACCTGGCTAATATATATTTGTTCTTCATCTCGTTACCATGTGTGTGCTTGAGCAAAACACAGTGGAACCAGAACTAATAATGATCCCAAATATATACTAATAAGTAATAATAATAATCAGAAGATATCATAAATGATAATAAGTAGTAAGACATGTCTTACTGCAAGCGCTTCTAGAAATAATTCACTATTAAATCACTACTCATTAAAGTAGTAGTCATTTTATAAATCAAACTACTTTAATGATTTATAAAATATGCAAAACTGGGGCCCACTAAGATCACCTTTATTACTGGTAATATTTACTACTTATTTTATTAATTATTGTTTCTGCATTTTATATTTATCACTGCTAATATTTTAACAGATGCATTTTCTTTAATTCTATGATAATTTTTATTCAATTAAAGTGTAATTGTTATTAAAATAGTGTAAGAGAGAGACTCGTCAAGTTCCCCAGAGATCCCGTGTTTCATTTACATCATAAACGCTTTTGGCAAATTCTTCTTTTTAGACATCAAAGCAAAATACAACTCGTGCAGATTATGATAAAATTCAAAGCCAAATGAATTTCCACGAATTATTTTGTTCGTTCCTGTGACAATCAAATCACTATAGAAAGCTGTGAAGGCCCAAACTTTTTATACATTTCCTAGGTATTATATATATATATATATATATATATATATATATATATATATATATATATATATATATATATATATATATATATATATGCAAACAAGCCTGAATGGTCCCCAGGACTATATGCGACTGAAAAACTCACACCCCAGAAGTGACTCGAACCTATACTTCCAGGAGCAACGCAACTGGTAACTACAGGACGCCTTAATCCGCTTGACCATCACGACCGGACATAAGAATATATATATATATATATATATATATATATATATATATATATATTATATATATATAACTGAAAACTCACACCCCAGAAGTGACTCGAACCCATACTCCCAGATGCCACGCAACTGGTATGTACAAGACGCCTTAATCCACTTGACCATCACGACCGGACATAATGAGGTGATAGCCAAGGCTATTTGAACCACCCCACCGCCGGCACTCGGATAGTAATCTTGGGCATAGCATTTTACCAAATCACCTCATTCTTTGGGGCACACGTGAGGAACACAAATGCGAACAAGCCTGAATGGTCCCCAGGACAATATGCAACTGAAAACTCACACCCCAGAAGTGACTCGAACCCATACTCCCAGATGCCACGCAACTGGTATGTACAAGACGCCTTAATCCACTTGACCATCACGACCGGACATAATGAGGTGATAGCCGAGGCTATTTGAACCACCCCACCGCCGGCACTCGGATAGTAATCTTGGGCATAGCATTTTACCAAATCACCTCATTTTTCAGTTTTCAGTTGCATATTGTCCTGGGGACCATTCAGGCTTGTTCGCATTTGTGTTCCTCACGTGTGCCCCAAAGAATGAGGTGATTTGGTAAAATGCTATGCCCAAGATTACTATCCGAGTGCCGGCGGTGGGGTGGTTCAAATAGCCTCGGCTATCACCTCATTATGTCCGGTCGTGATGGTCAAGTGGATTAAGGCGTCTTGTACATACCAGTTGCGTGGCATCTGGGAGTATGGGTTCGAGTCACTTCTGGGGTGTGAGTTTTCAGTTGCATATTGTCCTGGGGACCATTCAGGCTTGTTCGCATTTGTGTTCCTCACGTGTGCCCCAAAGAATGAGGTGATTTGGTAAAATGCTATGCCCAAGATTACTATCCGAGTGCCGGCGGTGGGGTGGTTCAAATAGCCTCGGCTATCACCTCATTATGTCCGGTCGTGATGGTCAAGTGGATTAAGGCGTCTTGTACATACCAGTTGCGTGGCATCTGGGAGTATGGGTTCGAGTCACTTCTGGGGTGTGAGTTTTCAGTTGCATATTGTCCTGGGGACCATTCAGGCTTGTTCGCATTTGTGTTCCTCACGTGTGCCCCAAAGAATGAGGTGATTTGGTAAAATGCTATGCCCAAGATTACTATCCGAGTGCCGGCGGTGGGGTGGTTCAAATAGCCTCGGCTATCACCTCATTATGTCCGGTCGTGATGGTCAAGTGGATTAAGGCGTCTTGTACATACCAGTTGCGTGGCATCTGGGAGTATGGGTTCGAGTCACTTCTGGGGTGTGAGTTTTCAGTTGCATATTGTCCTGGGGACCATTCAGGCTTGTTCGCATTTGTGTTCCTCACGTGTGCCCCAAAGAATGAGGTGATTTGGTAAAATGCTATGCCCAAGATTACTATCCGAGTGCCGGCGGTGGGGTGGTTCAAATAGCCTCGGCTATCACCTCATTATGTCCGGTCGTGATGGTCAAGTGGATTAAGGCGTCTTGTACATACCAGTTGCGTGGCATCTGGGAGTATGGGTTCGAGTCACTTCTGGGGTGTGAGTTTTCAGTTGCATATTGTCCTGGGGACCATTCAGGCTTGTTCGCATTTGTGTTCCTCACGTGTGCCCCAAAGAATGAGGTGATTTGGTAAAATGCTATGCCCAAGATTACTATCCGAGTGCCGGCGGTGGGGTGGTTCAAATAGCCTCGGCTATCACCTCATTATGTCCGGTCGTGATGGTCAAGTGGATTAAGGCGTCTTGTACATACCAGTTGCATGGCATCTGGGAGTATGGGTTCGAGTCACTTCTGGGGTGTGAGTTTTCAGTTGCATATTGTCCTGGGGACCATTCAGGCTGTTCGCATTTGTGTTCCTCACGTGTGCCCCAAAGAATGAGGTGATTTGGTAAAATGCTATGCCCAAGATTACTATCCGAGTGCCGGCGGTGGGGTGGTTCAAATAGCCTCGGCTATCACCTCATTATGTCCGGTCGTGATGGTCAAGTGGATTAAGGCGTCTTGTACATACCAGTTGCGTGGCATCTGGGAGTATGGGTTCGAGTCACTTCTGGGGTGTGAGTTTTCAGTTGCATATTGTCCTGGGGACCATTCAGGCTTGTTCGCATTTGTGTTCCTCACGTGTGCCCCAAAGAATGAGGTGATTTGGTAAAATGCTATGCCCAAGATTACTATCCGAGTGCCGGCGGTGGGGTGGTTCAAATAGCCTCGGCTATCACCTCATTATGTCCGGTCGTGATGGTCAAGTGGATTAAGGCGTCTTGTACATACCAGTTGCGTGGCATCTGGGAGTATGGGTTCGAGTCACTTCTGGGGTGTGAGTTTTCAGTTGCATATTGTCCTGGGGACCATTCAGGCTTGTTCGCATTTGTGTTCCTCACGTGTGCCCCAAAGAATGAGGTGATTTGGTAAAATGCTATGCCCAAGATTACTATCCGAGTGCCGGCGGTGGGGTGGTTCAAATAGCCTCGGCTATCACCTCATTATGTCCGGTCGTGATGGTCAAGTGGATTAAGGCGTCTTGTACATACCAGTTGCGTGGCATCTGGGAGTATGGGTTCGAGTCACTTCTGGGGTGTGAGTTTTCAGTTGCATATTGTCCTGGGGACCATTCAG